TGTTTTTAGTTAGCATATAGCTAAAATCTAACCATGCTCATATGATAGCACCTGCATTCTGGCGCGATAAGCTGTATGTTTTATATTCAATTAACGTATGATCCGATTAGTTGACTAATCGAAAAAATAATCGGTGATTAATCGATTATAAAAATAATCGTTTGTGGCAGCCCTAGTGACTACAGGGTTTCTTTTAGACTCAGTGCAAACAGATGACAAACCTTGTATTTTGAGGTGTTTATACACAAAAATTTAAAGCTGAGAGGAAGAAAATATAAAAGGTTCAACTCTAAACCCAGTTTTGTTGTGTTAAAGTCTTCTCTGCTTCATAACTGTTGGATCTTTTAAGTTTCAAACACCAGACAGCTGCTTACAGGCCTCCAACACTTTTAATGAAGCTCTGAGTTTTGCATAATCAGGAACAAGAAAACTGAAGTTTCTTTTTGTAGAAAAGTTGTCAAAGCTCAAACTTTGATACCCGACCTTTTGCACAATATAATTAGCAGCAGAAGTCAGGTTCTTAGCAGATACTGAAATATCAAATTATGTTTATGGTTGTTTTCCTCTCAGTAATGTAGGTTAAAATGCACCTCAGTTTATTAGATGTAGAGTTGGGGTTGGGGTTGTTGGAGAGAACATGAACTGTGTTGTTTATGAGCCTTTTATCTACAGCAGTGTAAGTGAATGTATTTACACATACCAGGTGTGTGTGAGTTCTCCTGGATAATTTTGCTCCTGAAACGTCCAATAACTTTAACCCTGCACTGTTAAACACAGCACTTAACTGTAAATCCAGTCCGGTACGACCGACACTTAATGCCGGACTCATAAATAGCGAGTGAGCCAAGCTGAACCAGAGGAGCAGACACATCCATCACTGCRGGCTCCATTACGCTCCTCTCATCAGTCCTCATTTAAGAGGCTGGATTGTCTCTACTTTTATCTTTGTGTTGCTCCCTCCTCCTCCTCTCGCTAATGTTCTTCCTCACTGGGGTCAAATGTCAGAGTAGTCAAAGAGAACGCGAGCAGTAAACCTCGAATGACTTTTTCTTCCATAGGACCTTCAGTTTCCTTATGAAGCTTTGATCGCTCGGGGCTTGGGATGATTATGCAAGTTTTTCAGAATATTCGTAGCATAATACACAAAATACGAAGTGAACAAATACCTCATGGTAGGTGTCCTCCAACTCTCCGTCGTATATCCACCTATAGAGGAAGTTCAAGATGGGGTTGGACACTAGGCTGAGGATGTGCTGAACCAGTGCTCTCATCTGCGGGTCTCCGGTTTTCCCATACGCATGAACAGCCGAAGCCAACTCGCCCCCCTTGTGCCCCTGGCAGAAGTCGACGAGGGCGGCCAGTGTTTTGAGCCGCACCTTGGGGTCGTACATCCAGACGAGGAGCCTCCTCAGGGTCAAACTGCTCTCTGCGCAAACGCTCACCCCCTGTTCGTCCTCCACCTGCAACTGCAACACAACCGAGATCCACAGGAAGTGATGGCGTGAAACACACCAGTGGARTTAAAAAAGGGAAGATAACTAGTCCCTGCCTGGTCTGTTTACCTGTGAGTGGAGCACAGACAGGAGCCTGTAGTACTCCTTCAGCTCCTGGTGGAGCGATGCACAGAAGCTCTGAAGGAGAAGACAGCAACAGAAAGATTTCCTGGAGGACATTAAAAAAAAGAGGAACATACTCAACAAGAACAGTTCATAGAAACGACAAACACACCTGTCCAACCAGTCCGAAGGCCCGGTCCAGGCTCCTGGCGTCCGTGTACTTCCTGACCTTGTTGTGGAGCCAACCGAGCTCAGCCAGTCTGCTGCTGGTGTCTCTCAGGGACTTGCATAGAACCACCTGGACAGAATAAATCATGTTTTATATAAATTAAACAATAAACCCAAGTGTTTATGAACCAAGTAGAAGATACTTATGACCTCATGGGCATAATTTGCGTRGGGTTAGGACCCACAATAAAATKACATAATTTGCTGTAAAACAATAGAAATAACTGGTTAAGTACACAGCTGTAACTCTCTTGTTGTCTTTAGGCAACTTTGACCAAATTTCAAAATTTACTATGTCATGAATGTTTAAGCATAATTGCTGAAAAAGAGATGCAGGGTTTTGGTCAGTTATGGTCACATCATGGCTGGATTTGTTGAACCTTGTGTTGTAGTGCATACTCTTACATACTCTTGGAAAACTGTAAAATTTAGGTATGTTGCATAATTCACCCTAAAAATGTAAAATATTTGTTACTGTTGAAAAAAACAAGCCTCTTCTTAATTGTTGAACTGAAGTGGAACAGAAATGTTTTAGAGGAAATACAAGGAAAAAAGGAAAGTTAAGTAAATCACAGTAAAAGCATTGCAACATACTTTAACCCTAAAATGTCCTGAATCGTTTTACACAAGTAAAT